AAAAAGAAAATGAGTAATGGAAAAATGTTATTGTAAGAATCATTTTTGTTGTGAACTATCTTGCTACACATAATCTTGCATTTCGTGGAAAAAAAAAGGTTATATCAAAGAAGCAATGGAAATTTTTTAGGTTTGATAGAAATGTTGGTTAAGTTTGATCTTGTGATGAAGGAGCATGTTGAACGTGTTGATAAATCGGGCAAAGTAAACGAAAGAACACAAGAATTTTAACGAGGTTCGGCAATGTGCTTACGTCCTCGGTGCCTAGGCGGCGCTAGAAAATTTTATTCAATTCTCATAGGTTTAGGTTACATCTCTATTTATAATAGAAAACCCTGGTACATAATTACAAAATTAACCCTGTACCGTACCGCGGGGCCGCAGCCCCCGTACCCCCAACCCACATAATCGTAACCCCCTCTACGAGACTTTCTTTGTAATGACAGTTGATGTTCGCTCACTCCGCTCCATCCCCTGTCCTCTTTACCGGTATATTTATGAGACATACCTTACATAATCTTGCATTTCGACATAGGTTGCAGCAAAGTGAAACAATTGATAAAGTTGTTCAAGAATAATTTAAAAAAGAAAATGAGTAATGGAAAAATGTTATTGTAAGAATCATTTTTGTTGTGAACTATCTTGCTACACATAATCTTGCATTTCGTGGAAAAAAAAGGTTATATCAAAGAAGCAATGGAAATTTTTTAGGTTTGATAGAAATGTTGGTTAAGTTTGATCTTGTGATGAAGGAGCATGTTGAACGTATTAATAGCGGTAAGATTCGTCACCATTATCTGAGTCATGATATTCAAAATGAGTTGATACCCTTGCTTTCTTTTAAAATTAGATCGATCATAATCAAAAAAATTAAAAGAGGCTAAATATTTTTATGTGATGTTGGATTGTACACCTGATGCTAATCATCAAGAACAAATGACCTTGATTATAAGGTGCGTTGATGGCTCTTTAAATACTTATGAAATTAATGAATTTGTCATTGAATTCTTACAAGTTGATGATACAACTGGCCAATGGCTTTTTGAAGTGTTAGAAAATGTCCTTAATTCTCATGATCTTGATATAGATAATGTTAGAGATCAAGGATGTGATAACGGGTCTAATATGAAATGTAAGAATCAAGGTGTGCAAAAAAGACTTAGATTTGAATCCTAGAGCTTTCTATACTCCATGTGGTTGTCATAGTCTTAATCTGGTTTTATGTGACATTGCAAACACTTCAAATAAAGGAAGAGATTTATTTGGAATAGTTCAGCGCATTTATATTTTGTTTGCTAATTCAACAAAGAGATGGCAAATTTTTTAAAGAATGTGAAAGATTATACTCCCAAATCATTGTCAGCCACAAGATGTGAGAGTAGAGTTGATAGTATTAATGCCATAAGATTTCAAATTGTTGAATTACGAGAAGCCTTATTACAACTAGCTTATGTTGATAATGATTCTAAAATTCAAAGTGAAGCGAAATCCTTGGCTACAAATGAACTTGGTAATTTTGATTTTTTTGTTTTATACAATCATCTGGTATGAAATTCTCTCTGCTGTGAACTTGGTTAGAAAATATTTAGAGTCAAAAGACATGTTGATTGATATTGCTATGAGTGAGATAAAAGGGTTGATATCATTTTTCAAGAATTATAGAGATGTTGGATTTTCCAATGACATGGATATTGCAAAAACAATAGCTATTGAAATTAGAATCGACCCTGTATTTCCACATAGGCTTATGATACGTAGAAAAAGAAAATTTGACGAGCTTAATGGTGAGGAAACATCATTATCTCCAGAGGAATCATTTAGAATTCAATATTTCATCTGCATTGTTGATCAAGCTATTTCATCATTGGAAAAGAGGTTTGAACAATATGAATTGTATGGGAGTGTTTTTGGATTTTTGTTCAATTCTGATAAGTTGCAATCAATGGATGACATCAAACTCCAATCTTGAAGTATTAACTTTGAGAATGCTCTTAGGAAAGGTGAGTTATTAGATTTTGATGGACATGATTTGTATATTGAGTTAAAATTACTTAGGGATATTTTACCTAAGGAAAAAATGGGAGGAATGGATTTATTGAAGTTCTTGAAGCGTTTTAATTGTTTTACAAATGTCACAATTGCATATAGAATCTTATTGACAATTCATGTAACTGTTGCTTATGCAAAAAGGAGTTTTTCGAAACTGAAGTTGATCAAGTCATACTTACGGAAAACCGTGTCACAAGAAACGCTAAATGGACTTGCTTTAATGGCCATCGAGAGCGATATTTTGGAAGAAGTTGATACTGAAAGTGTTATAGATGATTTTGTTTAAAAAAATGTAATATGAGCATCACGTTTTAAGTGAATATGTACGAGTTTCTATATTCTTAATATATATCATGTAATATGACATTCTCTCTATAATTTAGTAAATGTTTTCTAGTTAATAAAGTCATCTTTAAAAAAATGAGATTTAAGGGCCTCTTTTTAAGAATTTGTACATGGCCTCCAACGTCCTAGCCCCAACCCTAACTTCATGAAGCTTTGACTCGTTCGAAATGGATGGGCTCCTATAACCCACCATGACATTGTTACAAACATTACGAGACGCACTGATGACCCCGTCATCAAAGATACTTAGCCCCCCACAAGACATGATTGGAACATCGAGCAACCCATCCGTATTAAAGCTAGCGTGAACCATGTGTAGAACATTTACGTCGGCCGGGAGACGGATCCTTTTTGGCTAGTGAGTTCAAACTACACAAGCTTGGAATCACACTGAATGCAGAACAGTCATATCTATCTAAATATTAGTTCCCACATTTTAACACTGGACACCCTTAATGGAGCCAGTAGCCTCCATAGAATCTACGAAAACATCTATACCACTCAGACTTCTACCATCGATGAAGATCTGATCTGATCTTCAAAATTCTCCACACGAAGCTTGATAGAAGAAATACATCCACTCATGAAGATATCTACCCTCTCCGGAATAAGATATAATTTTTAGGTCGAGATCAATATCCTTGCTTCATAAATAAATATAATGGTTGTGATTTTGTAGTATAATTATGTTATTTTTATTTTTCGAATTGTATTCTAATTATCTTTTATATTTAATTTTATTCAAATTACAAAATTTTGAGCTAGGCTGATGTAAATCTCTTCTACTCTATCTTGACCACTAAGGCTTTCTCCCTATATTGTGTAGGCGAGCACTTCATGCCAACCCCACTAAACCAACGCTTAAACCACAGGCATGCCTTTACCAAATACCCTTTACGACCCGTCACCAAATATATATACATACATCTAAAATTACACCAAAATTATTATAATAAATATTTTATATTTTTAAAATTAAGAAAAATGATTTCCACGCCAACTTATCATATATTTTTTCACACACACAGGTGATAAATTTATAAAATTTTATATATTAAAGACTTATTTTTTATGATTAGAATATAAAAAAAAATCTGCGCACAAATGATAACAATGATTATAGTTGACTCCATAGATGAATTAAGGAGCTTGACGAGAGCTTGTCTCTCTTGAAAATCATAAGCTTTTATATAATTTAAGTTTATTTTATATACCTTTTATTGATAGTTTATTTGTTATCCTAAATCTTTTAGAAGTTTAATAAAATTTTATAAATTCGCTCTTAACTAGGAATAGCAGTCCGTTATCGAAATAGCGACCGTTATGTGAAATCATTATTGTACGGTTATGATACCCGCAATAATCGCAATAACGCAATCATGATAAACGCAACGCAGTTAAAAATACAGACGCAATTTCAATTCAAATCTTTGCTTCTAACATAAAAACACAACAAAAAATATGAACACAATTTCAATTTAAATCCTTGTTCATAACATAAAATCTCGTATTCTTCTCTGATTTACTGGGATTAAAAATATTGTGCATGGAATTACTGATAATTTTGCCAATTTACAAGAAACTAGTAAAATTTTACTGATGTTAATTTAAGTGGGTTGTTTAAAGTAGGGGTAGTTCTATTGTACGACAATCTTAATATACAGCTAAGGAAATGTACTACCGGAAATGTTATTATTTTTTTAACATTTCTGGTAAAGCGATACTTAAAACATTATTTTTTCTACCGAAAATGTTATTTTCGCTAATTAATTTTCGGTAGAACCCAATATTAATGTTTCCAATAAAAAAATAATGTTTTAGGTAGCGCTTTACCGGAAATGTTAAACATTTTATGTAGCGCACAATATTAATATTTTTGGTAGAAAAATAATGTTTTAGATAGTGTTTTACTGAAAATATTAAAAAATAATAATATTTTCGATAACATCTTTATTTAATTTTATATTAATGTTGTCGTATCTGAGATATTTCGAGAGTAGAGATATGAAAGAAGATTTGATTTAAGGGTGCTTTTGGTTCACGGAATGTAAGATTATCAGTAGGAATAAAATATTACCAGAGAATAGGATTACTGGGAATGTTTATTTTGTATTTGGTTAGTTTAGCAGGAATGTAAGATTATCGTGTTTGGTTAAAGGAATAAAAGATTATTGGAATGTATATTTGACCAAATTGTCTTTAATATATATTTGTATAATATCACAAATTGTAAAATATTTATATATTTTCTTTAAAAAATTAAATTCATAATATTTATATAATTTTTTTTACAAAATTAAAAATATAAAAAATGTTTAATGAAAGGGTAAAATTTTTTTAACCCCTGAACTTCATATAAAATTTTAATTATAGATTTTTTTTTTGTAAATCTAAAATAATTTAAAGATAAATTTGTAATTTAATATTCGTAGAATTTTAATTATTCAATAACATAAAAAATATAACTTTTTAAAAAATAAAAATTTAAGAACATTTTAATCTAAAAATAAAACTCCCACCACATGATTATAATAAAATAAGCATACAAATGGTCAAAAAGTCATCTTTTCTAATAATAAAATCACTATTTTCTTTTGTGTTAAGGGAAGCTATTTGGTAGATTTCATAGCTTCAAAGCTAACCAGTCTTACAGTTATAACCACTGAAAGAGAGCCATCAAGCAAATTAAAGAAAAAGAAGGGATCGTTGTAAGATGGCATCAATGGGGACGCCAAAGCAGGAACAACAGCAATCGCAGGTGGAGAAAGTGAAGAACTCTGGCGTTAACATGAACAATGGAAGTCCAACGGACGATGATAAGGACGAGGAGATGACGGAATCTGTATTGGCGTTGTTTCGATCCAAAGAAGAAGAGATCGAGAGGAAGAAGACGGAGGTTAGGGATAGAGTTCAGGCTTATATGGGCCGCGTCGAGGAAGCCACTCGCCGCTTGGCCGACATCCGAGACGTAAGTTTCAGATCGTAGTTCAAAGATTTTGATTCACCTAGCGGAACACTCGATTTGCAAGGGGGGAAAAAGTAGTACCAAGTTTTACTGTAGCTAGGTTAGATTCAGATCGTCGTTTTGCTAATAAAACAATTGAAATTTATCAATTTGCAGGAGCTTGATGCGCTCATAGATCCGATGAGGAAGGAAGTTGCAATTCTTCGTAAGAAGGTGGACAATGTTAACCGGGAGCTGAAACCATTGGGACAAACATGCCAGAAGAAGGTACGGATTTTATTCCCATTACAATTGAAGATTGTTAATAGGGTAAATTGTGTTTTAGTACCTAAACTATAAATTTTAATCCATTTTAGTACTTAAATGTTTATTTTTTTTCAAAATCATGATTAACGTTAGTTTTTATTTAATTTTAGTAACCCGTCGTTAAAAATTTAACACATTTAGTACCTAAAATATTAAGTTTTGATCTATTTTAGTACCTAAACTTTCAATTGTTTCAAAACTTAACGTTAAGTTTTTAACGATGCTACTAAAATGAAATAAAAAATTAAACGTTAGGTATGATTTAAAAAAAAATTAAAAGTTTAAGTACTGAAACGAAACAAAATTAATATATTAAATAGCAAACACATAATTTACCCTTGTTAATATTAAGGTGAGTTAAAGTCGAATTAACTCAAAAAATTGATTTTTTTTTAAATTTGACACTAAGTTAAAAAAACCAGTTTAATCTATTATTTTATAAATTCAATAACTTAAAAAATTTAAATAAAATTTGAATTATAAAATAATATTCTACTAACTTGAAATTTTTAGTAATTGGTGGATTGATTTTTAAGTTTGAGTCGGATCTATCAATTATGCATAATATATGTATATTGCATATGAAAAATATATAAAAAATATATATATGTACATCGTATATGGTTATAGAAATCCATTTAAACTAAATACATATTAGATATAGCAGAAACAATAGATCCAGCAGAAACAAGAAGCAAGTAAAAGGGATTCATTGTGAATAATATGCTTTGCAATTACAACATCATGTTATTTATAGCTCAGCTGTAACAGAATTCTTAACGGTTTCAACAGCTTTAAACCGTTTACAACAAACTAAAAACCTGCATTTAGCAACCCTACTATGCACGTGTATGAACTGCATGAAGTAACTCAACATTCTTCCCACTTCTTCTTCCCTTCTTCAACAAGGCAACACTCGTATCTTTTCTCTGAATTGTTCAAATGTTGCCTTAACCAGTGGCTTAGTCATACCATCAACCACTTGAAATCCAACTGGAACATAATTAACATGAAGTTGACCAACAATAATTTTTTCCCGAACAAAGTGGACATCCAACTCAACATGCTTGGAGCGAGCATGACACACCGGATTGACGCTCATAGCAACAACGCTTGTGTTGTCACAACAAATGACAGATTCGTCCGGTAGAGACACACCAAGATCACTTAGCAAAGCAGTAAGCCGTGTAACTTCTGCTGCAGTATCAACAACACTCCTGTACTCAACTTCTATTATGGAAAGAGAGACAATCTTTTGCTTCTTCTAACTTCAGGCAACCAAACAACCCCAAGAAAAACACAATGTCCAGACTTGGACTTGTGATCATTAGCATCATTAGCCCAATCAACATCTGAGAAAGATTTGACACTTAACCTTGCATCTTCTGTTGAAAACACCAATCCATAATCCAATGGACCCGCCATATAACGCAAAATTCTTTTGACTGTCACAAAATGGACTTCACGAGGGGCCTGCATGAACTGAGCTACTTTGTTAACCGCGAACGCAATATCTGGACGAGTATGACAGACATACAAGAGAGCCCCTACAATACTGCGATACTCACGAGCATTTATCAACAGAGCACCATCTTGATCAGCAAGCTTCACAGCAGTAATCATTGGAGTACAAGTTGAAGTTGCTTGAAGCATGTTTTTTTAACAAATCACAAATGTATGTTCGTTGACTAAGTGCCAACACAACACCAACTCGTTTAACCTCAATACCCATAAAGTACAATAACTCGCCAAGGTTTTTAAGCGAAAGCTGACAACTTAGCATTTCTACAACCTGGTTAACCTCTACAGCAGAAGTCTCGGTGATTATAATATCATCTATATACACAAGAATATATGTACAACATACACCTTTGAACTGAACAAATAAAGATACATATGCTTTCGACTCTATACACCTGAGTTCCAAAAAACTAGCTTTAAGATTTTCATCCCAGTTGATTGGTGCCTGGCGAAGACCATAGAGCTCTTTTTGCAACTTACACACCAACGGAGAACCATCTGAAGCATAATGTTCAAACCCTGAAGGCTGCTTCATATAAATGTCTTCACTCAAGTCACCATTGAAAAACGCTTTGTTGACATCTACTTGCCTCAAGGCCCAGGCTTTGGCAATAGCCATGGCCAAAAATAACATACACCGTTGAAAACTTCACAACCGGGCTAAACTTGAAGTCATGTTCAAGGATTTGAGTAAACCCTTTTGCAACCAAGCGAGCTTTGTACCGATGCACAAACCCATCAAGGTTCTGTTTGAACTTAAACAACCACTTGCACCCCACCACGCTCTTATCACCAGGCAAGGGAACAAGGGCTCACGTCTCATTCTGAAGTAACGCATAATATTATGCATGAAACGTAGCAGTCCATGGAGCTGACTGAAATGCTTCATCAACAATGGATGGAACAACATCATCAAGGAACATAGTATAGATTTTTAGTTTAAATACCCCACACTTACTACGAGTCAACATAGGATAAGTGTTACCCATCGTAGTCACTGTTTACTCACCAGGCAAAGACTGAGCCGCAATATCAAGCTCGGTACCTGTTGTAGTAGGTGGAGACTGTGCAACATTGGGAACCTCAGGCAAAGCAACAAATACATCAATCGGTATTGACTGTGCTGAGCTTGGTTCAAGAGCACCTGAGCATGAAATAATGGCGTCTGACACCCTAGCAGTTCCAGTGTGCAACCTGTTAACATCCCCAACTATATCAAGGGACATGTTCAACTGTGAAACGGTTGCCGACTTCTTGGCAGAACTAGCACCTTCAAAAAGAAACTGTCATTCATCAAATTTTACATGGCGAGATACAGTTACTCGCCCATCAGGTCCAAGACAAAGAATCCCTTGTGTTGAGGACTAACACCTAAGAATGTACAAGGCTAAGATCAAAAGCCTAATTTATGGCTATTGAATAGGAACAAATGAGAAAAACACCTACATCCAACACCTTGAGTAAACCATAATCAGGCTTCTTGTAAAACAAACACTCAAACAGTGACCTTCCTTTTAACACCTTCGAGGGAAGCCTGTTGATCAGATAAACAACCATAACCATTGCATACAACCATAATTGAATCGGCAAGGAAGCCTGAGCAAGGAAGACTAAAGGAAGTTCAACAAAAAACATGTGTTTACGCTCCACTACACCATTTTTCTATGAAGTATGTGGGCATGTGACACGATGAGAAATGCAAGCTTCAGTGAGAATACGAGATAGACGACGATATTCGCCTCCCCAATCACTTTGAATAGCCAAAATCTTTAGACCAAACTGTGTTATCACAAGCTCTTGAAAGAGATGAAACGCATGAACAACTTGAGTCTTATCCTTAAGAAGATACAACCATGTATGCCTTGTGCATGCATCAACAAAACTGACATAATATCTATAACCATTCGAAACAACTGGAGATGGCCCCCATAAATCAGTAAAAACAAGTTGAAAAGGGGACTCATACACAATAGTTAAATAAGTAAAGGGGAGTTTATGACTCTTGCCCATGGGACAAGCAACACAAAGTTCATTAATCTTTTTCTTAACATTTACATTGATTGTTTTGCATATTTGCTCAAGGGTTCCATGTGAAGGATGCCCAAGGCGTCTATGCCAGAGATCATACAAACTATGTGAGGTAAAAACATTATTAACTTCAGCATGAGTACTTCGATCATCAACACAATCAACTTGAAAGGAGTATAAGACATCATTCTCTCGACCCTACAACAACACTTCTTCAATTTCTTCAATACAAACACATCAACATGAGGCAGGAAACTCAAAATACACACCATTATCCCTAGCATGCTTCGAGATCGAGAAAAGATTTTTTGCTATCTTAGGTACATAGAGAAGATCATTCAACAACAACGTTCGTGAAGAAGAACATAAAACATATTTACCAATAGCTCGAATAGAAAGAGAAACTTCATTACTAACAATAAGTTTACCTGGACCTGAAAAATCTTTTTGATTGATGATATTAGCTGAGTCAAGGGTTACGTGATGTGTAGCCCCGGAGTCAACCACCCAATGATCCTGAGCACTGGTGGCAACATGGCTCTGTGGCTAAGAGGAGTAACAAACCTGCGCCTCAACTCGAGTCTTTGTACATCAAGAGTAGTCTTCACCACCGATAGTAGCTGGCTCCAAGCTAGAGTAACTAGCCGATCCTAAGTCATCACGAGAAGCAGTACGACCAACCGTTCTACCAAAAAATATTTTATCAAAACGGTACCAACAATCAACAACAAGATGACCATTTTTTTCCACACAACTGACATTGAACGCGTGGACGTCCACGACCACGACCTCCCGCTCGACTTCCAAAACCAGATCCAGATTGCCAGAAGTGCTATCATGAAAACCATGACTTCCAGTCTTTGAACAAGAACCAATATGCACTCATCGGAAGAGAATCCTCCTGATAATCGAAACTGGTAAGTTGTGTCTCTGCATTAATTAACATTGAATAGATTTTATCAAGAGATAATGCGTCTTTCATGGTGGTTATAAACGCGATGTACGACTGATAATCTCAGGAAAGAACTTTTAATATGCTTGCAACATGCTCGGCCAAAGGAATCGCACTGTCACACGATGGTAACACATCACATACCTCTTTTATATGAGTGAGATACGTATGCTTGCTATCATTCCATTTCTTGAGAGACTGAAGCTTATAGTGCAGACTGATAACTGCCGTGGTAGATCTGTTTGCAAAGAACTGTAATATTGTGCTCCAGACCGTCGTTGTTTTCTCCGCTCCAATAAATTGGGACATTAAATGAGGGTTGATCGTGGCTAACAACCAAGAGGCCAGTGCACTATCTTGCGCAACATACTCTTCATACAAATCATTCGACACCGATTCACCACGCTAATCAACCACCGTTGCAGGAAGACGACGAAGAGAACCAGTTAGCAAACGTTCT